TAAATTATGCCAGATAAATTTTGCAGTGAAATAACTACTATGCCCTACAAACCGAAAATGTCCATGAAGGAATTAGAGCTCTTACTGTACTTGAAGCTGAGTATGGATCTAGTCATGAGCCGTTAATACATGACCAAGTCCACACCCATCTACAAACACAGTTCCTGAAATCACCCTACCACATAACGTCCACACCACTTAAGATTTGGTAGGTATTAGAGCAGTACATCACACAGCAATGCTGATACAACTAGAAACGAGCACCACACACCGCTCCTTACAACACAGAATAACACCAGTCTCAACACAGCAACATCGGAACGACGGGAGAAATCGAACTTACAAGCAGAAACCGAAGACGATAATAAAGAAAACACCCCCCTCCAACAAAAAACAACGAGAGACCCGAACAGATCTACAGCCGCACAACCAAAGACGTGAAGACATGAATGAATGACTAACATTGAGTTATCGACGGTCAGTCACAGTTTCGCGCCACTTTCATGCCCTTTGTTTCCCGCCTAATTTGTTTAAAACGCAACGCCTCCCGTGGAAGGCGTTGATCTACTTACTGTACACCATTCTAGCTGTATTTTTTCCGATCATCAGGCTGCTAATTACGGTAACTTGCTGTTCAGCCGGTGTTTGATCCCTCCAAACGAGCACGACCAATTCATCCCGGAGGCGCCATGCTACAGGCTGACAATATACATAACTGGAAGGCCGCGTCAGGCTCAGATTCATCGATCAGAGAAAAAGCAACAGTGCGGCTCGTTGAACTAGATGTTGGGACTCCTTATATCGTTCTCTTTGAGTTCAGCAGTTTCAGTAGCACTTTTCTCCTGCAATTATAACTTTTTTAGGTGGCACATCGGTACCACTGCAGTTACTGGGGTTGTTTTCAGCTTTGGATGTTGTAGGTATAATTGCTGTAGCAGCCGATTGTTTTTGAAAAATAAAAGATAGAAGATTTCCCGCTTATTAAAAAAGTACTGCAGAGAGCGTTTACTGAGTACTTGCTTGTTCGCAGAGCAGTAAGGAAAGAAAAGAAAGTTGCATTAATTAGATCG